CACTTCCAGAGCTTGCCCAGGCGGATATTGTGAGGGACGGTGTCAAAAGCCTTGGTGAAGTCGAGATAGACGACATCCACCGCTCTCCCCTCGTCTATCCAGCCGGTCATTTCATCATAGAAGCCTATCAGGTTAGTCAAGCAGGATTTCCCCTTGGTGAATCCATGCTGACTACACTTGAGCACCTTCTTGTCCTCCATGTGCCTGGAGACAACGGCCAGTATGAGCCGTTCCATCACTTTTCCGGGGACGGAGGTGAGACTCACTGGCCTGTAGTTGCCTGCCATATATAATGTCATTGACTCTATGGAAATTTTTGAAGATACCCTGCCCAATAGCCACTTTATGATTCTTATTCAAAAATCTTAAGCTCTAGTAAATTAAACTAGAGAATGTACTTCAGAGAATATGCATCAGTGAAAAGGCAAGAGCTAAATTAATTTTATTATTGAAAATGATGATCAGAAGGTCAAATAGCCCTAGCCAGACAGCAGATAAATGTTATACTTTGCAAAAATCCCTTAAAGAAGGCTGTGCTTGAGCACAAAATCCCCTTTAGTTTGTAACGTGCTGCAGTAATAAAACTGAATACAGAAATGAAAACGTGAAGAATTGCAGGGACCTTTATGTGCACTGGCTGCGTGCACATAGATGTGGATTTAAACTGTTGTTCATAAACATGGTGAGCCTGTTCTCTTCTGGGACATGGTATCGTGAGATGTTCTATTGGCCCCTCTGCTCAGATGTGCATTCCCAATGCTGCAGATAGAGTTCCCGGGAGCAGGATTCGGCCTCAGGAATCCAGTCCTAATGAGCTCGTAATGCTCATCAGTGATCTTCCTCCCAGAGAGCCTGCCGTAACTAAACCAGAAGTAGAAATGATATTTTCAATTCCTTATTAACTACTTCTAACAGATGGGGGAACATTTTGTGGGAGTGAGTTGCGGGCAGCCACCCGGACGGCGGGGAGCTCCGCGGGGCCTGTCCAGTCCCCTCGCACGGCAGCCCATCCCCTCCAGCGCCTTTGGCCGCCCTCCCCTGGCGTGGCGGGAAGCAGGGAGTGCTCGTGCGGTTCCTGCTCGTGCTTGTGACCGCAGCGGAGCCACGCGGGCTCCGGGGCTGATGCTACACTGCAGCGGAATTACGGGGAATAAAGGGTCTGTTCCTAGCACTCCCATGGCACTAATTTTATTTCTACGTTCTCCTTCAAGGACTTCACACCATGTCTTTTAATGCATTACACAGCCAGTCTGTTAGCACAGAGCCAGGCTTGTCATTTCAGGGCAGATCTGCAGAAATGGCTTCCCGCTTTCTCCAGATGTAGCCGATCTTTTGCCCGCATTACTAGGACGGAGTGCAGATCCTTGCTAATGAATTCGGAAGGCAGCAGGGAGATCCCTGGGAGGTGTCTGTGGGCGATTCAGCCCCGTGCGCTGGGACGAACTTGTGCCCGCATCGTGCACTGCATGAACTCAAGCCAGCTGTGCGGGTGCCTCTCAGGTTTCACAGCCTGTTTTTATCAGTTTGTTTCCAAATAAAGTGATTAACAAACTATTCTTCAAAAACTGAAATGTGAAATCCTAGAAGATTCATTTTCTCACTTCTCCCAGGCAAGCAATTACCTCCGCAGAATCTAAAAGCTGTCTCTGCCTTAAACTCTACTGCAGATGTAGCATTTCCATAACTCCATTGCTCTTCTGCTGGCCCCTTTTGCTAACATGTGAGTAATTTACCCTAAAGGGTGGGTTCTGCCATGTAACATGTCTACATGCAGGTCAGTGGAGGTATCTCAAGAGAGGATTTGATAGGTGCAACTGGATCCTTCATCAGCCTTCTGGGGGCTCAACTACCAAACCAATCTGAACATTAATTTAAATATGCAAATTTCAAATTTTCCCATAAGTATTTTCCATAAATGTGGAAAACACATTGACAGAAGTGTTTAATTATTACCTTTATAATATTTTTCCTGTATTTTTAAGTGTTTGACTCTACCCCAGATTGATTTGTTTCATCAGATTTCATATAAAATATGTCAGTAGAGCTAGAAGTACCGAGCAGACTGCATACTTGCATTTTTTTGCGCTCAGAGACTAAGTGCTGTATTCTAGTGTTCTGGCTGAGAAGTCACAGCTGTTATTACCTGCAAAATGCTGTTGTGGTGAGCAGTGAGTTACATTTCAGTCTTTCACATGGGCTCTCTGTGAACCAAACAGGGTGAAGTACCCAGCCTTTCCCTTCCACCCTTGGGATCACTAGTCACAGTGGGAGCTGTGGTTGTGGCTCTGAACTGAATGAAGGACCTGTAGTTTGATCAAATCCCTCTCAGATATTCTTGGACCCGAAAGGATTATAGACTTAAGCTCTTGAAAATAGACTATAGATCTATGTTTCAACAATTTCGAGAGATGGATGGAAAAAAAAAAATCTCTTCATTATCCTTGTTTTGGAACTTACATGAGTGTACAAATTAATGAAAGCTACAGAAGGAGCAGTGGGAGCAGTGAGAATCCAGGCTCCAGGTCTCTCTAAGGGAGCCAGGCTTGCCCTGTGGCTCTGGGCAGGGCTGTTGCCCACATCACGCCATCCGAGCACTCACAAGTCTGCGTCTGCCTGCGAAGTGCGGAAACGCTCAGTGAGCAGGATGGCCCTGGCCTCCTGGCCAGCAGGCTCGCTCTGAGGGGCTCAGGTCACCCTCCAATAAATAACCCAACCAATATTTAAATAACCCTTGTATACAGTTATTTGTTAGTCTTTATTGGAAGGGAATAATATGTATGATGTTTTCATATCAGTAGGTTTAAATAGATTACCAAGAAACCCATT